ACTTCGTTATTTAACCTAAATTAAATTATAATAAAAAATTGAATTAAAAAATTACACAAAATATGAGGAATTTTAAATAGTTAATTTGATACTAATATCGATATATTTTTGTCAATTTTTTATGATATATTCAAATTTATATTTTATTCAAAATTAAAAACATCATCGTTTTTTCAAAATCACATACGAGTTAAAATCATTAAAAAGATATATTTATCTCTAATAGATTCTTTATTTTGAAGAATTCAACATTGATTATAAAATTAATATATTTCATTAATCTATCATTCTTTTTCCTACTTTCTCCATTTTGGAGAAGCTGTTTTAGAACAAATATTGGCTCAAAATCCTCATTTTCTTTATTTTAGAAAAAATGTTGGAGATACTCTAATATGGTCCGATCATAGCCTTGCATATGAGTGACCTAGATGGATAAGACTTTATGCCACGGGTATTCTTGGTACATGAATTGAGTAGAAAAAACGATATTATAAAACAGAAAATGAGAGTAGAAATTGAATATATAAGGGGTGTTTGAGATTGTTTATAAAAACAACTTATTGACTTATTCCGATGTGACACCGGTAATAAACATTTTTTAGTGTTTGGATAAACAACTTATACCGGTGCCAAACCAGTAATAAGAAGTTTTTGAAGAAGTTAAACACTTCTAACTTAAGATAAGTTCACTAGTTGTATACCAGCGCAATGCGACGGGAGCCGTGAAATTTTAACGATTGTTGAAGTTTCACTGGTTTTATTAGAGAAGATTTAACGATGATATAAATTACATTTGGTTTTTGCATATTAATACAATTTGAATAAATAAGAGTTATGGTTCCAATTACAGTCATCGATGAAAAAAAATTGTATGACAGTTTAAAATTCAATATATTTAAAATCCAACATATTTAAACGACTCCACAAATGTGTTCGATTTACAACAAGATCAAAGAATAAAGAGATCGAGAGCGAGACCAAGGGTTATAGAGTAATTGAATAGGAGATGAATGGAGAACTTTTAATAAGTCATGGTGAATATCAGTTTGAATCTCACCTTGGGGGAAGTGGAGAAGACATAGAGGTATGAGAGGGTGAAGACATGAGTGAAAGGTGTCAAAAGCATCTTGGAAACATGAAAAGAAAAGGTAATAATGTGCATTAGTAACTTGTATTATATGTAATTTTAATTGTAGATTAAGAGATTTTAAGACTGAATGCATAAAGTAGTAGTACTTAATGCATTATGAATTGTTTTTTAAACTTTTAAGACTTTGTATATTAAAAATTGTTTTTAAAACTTTTGATACATCTTGTTTATTATGGTAGTATAGATAAGTGTTTTTTATAAAAAAAACATGATTTATTTCAAATAAGCAATCCCAAACATTGTGATAACTGGATCCTAGTTATCACCCAAGGTAATTAATACGTGATTATATGATTAAATGTTTATGTGACAACATGATAAATTGTTATATTTGATCATGCTAGTGTGTGTGAAAATTATGTGTATACATGTATGAGAGTATGTGCATGTATATGTGATTATACACACATGCATGCTATGTGAATGCATGGTGTGTATGGATGCATGCATATTATAAGAAATGCATGGTGTATGTGTGTGTATGCATACATATGGGGAGTTGTATGGGAAGAAGGGGCTGTTAGCTGACCTTCTATTTTTGGAAGTGTATAAAAGAGGGGCTTAGCCTCCATATTTTCTTTTCTGATTTTAGTTAAAAGCTGTGTGATTTAAAAGAGAAGAGAAGTGTCCGGATTTCTTTGTTTGAAGATTCAAGTATTTGGTTTCAAAAGCCTGATAAGGTGAGTGATTTCTAAATCTTTTTGCATTAAAATTGTTACTGGTTTTAATATGAATCTTGTTTATATTTGGAAAGAAATCATATATTT